TGCTTAGGCCATTTGGTGTGATGAATCAGTGAGCAACCCACACTGAGGCCTCTACTCCTCAACCTTCTGAAACTCGTCTACCGTCCTCGCACCGGAGTCTGTCTTGCATAGAAAGTCTCCTATGAAGCTAAACCCACTGGCTGGTCACAGACACGGCCCGAGGGCGGCACGCACCCCCCGCCCAAGGGCAGACTCTGCCGCGTCCACACCGAGTGGAGGTGGCACTCGGTTTGCTCACGTGACCCGGGCTCTCTCTAAAGGACCCCCCAACCCCGGCAGAAGGAAGAAAGACCTTTGCAGGGACTCACGGTGGCCCAGGGGGTCGCGGTCAGCACAGAGGCCGTGATGGGCATGAAGTGGGGCTGGATCTCCCCGGGAACGAGGGCCTCGCACACCATCACTCGCCCCAGACCCTCCTAAAACCAAGTGAAGCCCAACCTAGGGGAGCACCCCAATGGGCAGAGCACGTGGTCGTGTGCCCACATCTGCCCCCAAGTGCCCCTCGCAACACCGTCAACATGGAAGCCCAGGAGCCCTTCCTCCCCAGGCAGATGTTTCCACGCAGCATAACATGCCCTCGGCGGCCGGGGCGGCCAGGGGTCCCTGCGCTCCTCGCGAGCCTGGAAGCAGGCTGCACAGCGTGGCTTCTCCCGGGATCCTGGAGACCGACGCTCACGTGTCTGCATGAACCCAGGTCTCAAGGCTCCGGGCACACAATACAGACGGGCAAAGCCAGCGTCCGGAGGAAACGTGCACACACTCACCTGGCTGCCAAATGCCAGTGGCGCGCTAGTGGTCCATTGCACCTCACGCAGAGTGCACTTCTAGAAAGTTCTCAGAGGCCCTGGGAGAAGAACCCTCTTCCCTTCGTGGCGAACGTTCAGGTGGCATCTCCAGCGAGGTCACAGACAGCCAGGGCTCCGACCAGTCCAGTGCACACAGCGGCTGGGCCCCACCCAAGGGCGCCCACAGCTTTTGCTTCCATCTCCCCATCTCCCACTCACTCCGCCTCTGGCTCTAGTGGACAGCACATGTCCCCCAACCCCGAAAGCTGTGCAGAGGGAAGGGAGAGTGCACCCCTCAAACGTTCGTAAGAATAGACACTTGGCACGTAGCGCCCCGTCGAGCTCTTCTTCGGGACTTAGCTCCGAATCTGCATGAACAGCCCACCCTAAGGCTGCTTTCTCAGACGGCACGCGGCCTCTTTCCCCTCCCGCCATGGAGGGAGAGGCGAGGCGGCCAGTCTCGGGGGGCGGGCTCCCGGGAGGCGGTGGTCAGCAGACTGGGTCCTCAGAGCTCCCCCAGGCGCCCTGGAGCTGGAGAAGAGGCGGCCTGTGGAGCGACTGAAAATAAAGGCGCAGCACCCCTCGCAGCAGCAGCAGCCGCTGCTACCAGCCCAGCTGACCGGTGCGGCCCCCGCCGGCTCCCCTTGCCGTTACTCAAGGAGATTGGGGGCTAGGGGGCTGGGGCTTGCAGTTTTGCAGAACTTCAAGGTAAGTCACGGAAAAGAAAGAAAGGCCAATCTTCAAACAATAACAGAGGAAAGAGACAGAAAGAAGAAAGCAGGCGGAGGAGGCTCCTCCTTACCACTTGTTAGAGCAGACGAGCCTTTCCCACCGACAGAGTGAACGTCGACAACTGAAACATTCCTCATCCAAAATACAAGTACGGAGCGGGGCAGAGGCAGGCTTACAGCTGTACGGGAACAGCTGATTCTTCCATTACTGCTTATCAATTACCGTACTGTTTCCCAGATGAACAACTGTAAACCTACTTTTGCCCCACCCTGTGTATTTTTAAACTACAATTTCATTTGCTCTTTGTTTTCCAAACAATCCCTACATAGAAGGAATCTATGTTATAATCCGAGGATGGTTGTTTTGGTAAAAGAAAGCAACACGTGGGGGAAGGCGGTGCATTGCATCTGAGAGGAGAGGTGTTTATGCAGCTGGGGTACCAGGGCCCCTGGGCAGCTGGCTCCCTCCCCTGGGGAGGGGGGTCTGTGTGGGCTCCCGCAGCAGGAGTCCCCACAACATTCCAGCTGGTGGTGGGCCCGTCCGCAAGGGGTCCACACACCTGCTGAGTTGCCACAATCTGGATACCGGGGTGGCATCTAAAGGAAGAACACAATCCCGGGCATTTCACCGAGAGCAGCGCTGCCGTGTGATGGGACTGGACGGCCTCCAATCACAGGCACCCAGATCTCCGTAACCCCTTAAACCAGCAGAGACACAGGGGAGGGGGAAGAAAAGGAAGGAGAGAAGGCACTGGCCAGTTCAAATGACTGCATAGATCAGTGTAGACCCTGGAGGACAGGGAGTGGCCGTTCCGACACACACAGAACTGGACATTGGAGACGCGTCAGCGACACGTGACAACAAAACGGAAGCATGGGCTCGGAGCTGCAGCTCTCCCACCCGGAGGGGCTTCTGCAGCGACGACCCAGCGTGTGTCCCACGCAGGCTCCACCGGGCTCTGGAAGCCAGGCCTGCTGGGAGTGGGCGGTGCAGCGCGATCCAGCTGGTCACACAGGAGCTGCTGCTCGCGGACGGAAGGGGCGAGGCCTCGGCACCCTCCGGGCCCTCCTTGTGCCGCAGGGAACAAACCGGGCTGTTCCCCCCGGCAAACAGCTTCTGCTCCTGCCCTCGCACTGTGGGCCCCTCGCCGTGGTGTCAGGGGCCTCACGCCCGCCTCATGCAGAGTCCCAATAAGTTAACAGAAGACATAACAGAATCTTCCCACCAAACGTTCACACACTAAACCCAAACAAAAATCCAAAATAGGGAGCTTCCTTTCCACAAGGAGGGACTCCACTCGCCACTCTCCTGACCTATTTATCAAATGCATTTATGTGTCTTAGAAAAATAAAAGATGGCGATTTACTCAACCAAAGTCACCTCACAGCCCCGCAAGCCGACATCACACCACATCAAAGCCGTCGGGCGGCCAAAGCCAACGAGTTTGACGTTCACAATTGTTACTACAAAGTTCATTCATTCCTTTCTTTCTTCTTCAGTTTGTTTGGTTTTGGCCCATATAAAAATAACATATTGCAACTCAAAGTGCATCTTTTAAAATAAACCATCAACTCTCTTTATCAAATAAAATATTTACACCATTTGGTTTCTCGCGAGGAAAGGAGCTCTCTCAGGCTATCACCATGGGGACGTCGTCGGAAAATCCAGTTATCATCGGAGTGTCTTCGTCATCCTCCCCTAAAGCAGAAAGCCAGCGTGAGTCCCAGCGCACGGCGTCTGTCCAGTCTCCCGCCACCATGTCCCTCCGTCCCCTCGTGCCTGCCCCCCCCCCGCCCCCACTATCACCAGCCCAGCCCCCGGCACAGCCAGCAACGCTGAAGCCCAGTCCAGCTTCGCCCTCAGTCACCTCCCCATGAGCAGGTGGCCAAGCTCCTTCGAAGAACAGCTTGGACCGAACCACGCAAGCAAAGCCCATCTTTTGGGAAGGAGCGTCTGACTCCCCACTTGCAGGTCCCTGGTGTTTCCTCCCGCCTGGGGGTGACGCACACCGTTAGCACAGGGAGCTGACTGCGCGGGCTCTCCCCGAGCCCTGGGCTTTAGGGAAGGACTGAGGGCTGAGTGTTTGGAGGACAGCTTCCCAGCCTCACGCCGTCCCGTGACCCAGGTGCGGCCCCGTGGGGCTGCCCAGCGCCCTCCCTGACCCTGCCGGCAGCACCGCAGTGGCTGACTCCTCCTGCCCAACACGCAGCGCCCGCTGCACTCACGCAAGGGCGCCCAAAAACGCACAGCAGGAAAGGAACTGAGAAGCAGCAGGCAGAGCTAATACAAATGGTCGGGGGTGGGAGTACAGAAATGTCCTGGCAAACAAATCAGAATTCATGTACAGAAAGCAATGACTACACACACTCAGCTCAGCAACCTGAGTCTGCAGGGGCCCAAGCTGAGGGAGGTCCCCACACACCCACTTCAGTACAGGAAGTGGCCACAGCTTGACTGGCACTTGGTGGGGGAGTGTAGACCAGTGATGGCGAACCTACGACACGTGTGTCAGAGGGGACACGCGAACTCATTTTTTTGGTTGATTTTTCTTTGTTAAATGGCATTTAAATATATAAAATAAATATCAAAAATATAAGTCTTTGTTTTACTATGGTTGCAAATATAAAAAAATTTCTATATGTGACACGGCACCAGAGTTAAGTTAGGGTTTTTCAAAATGCTGACACGCCGAGCTCAAAAGGTTCGCCATCACTGGTGTAGACGTTTATAAACGGGCTCGTCCTCGTCCCCGGCCACGCGCTGTCAGTACAGAGGAGTGGCCAGCGAGGCTGCGCTAACATCAGAAAGGGGACAGCAAGGTGGAAGCATGACTTCTTGTCTTCTGTTAATCTCCCCTCACCCCCAGGCTATTTTCCCACTGATTTTTAGGGAAAAGTGGAAAGGAGAGGTAAAGACAGAGAGAAACATCCATGTGAGAGAAACACATCGATGGGGTGGCTCCTGCAAGAGCCCCGACCGGGGCCCGGGCTGGGGAGGAGCCTGCAACCGAGATCTGTGCCCTTGACCGGAATCGAATCCGGGACCCTTCAGTCCGCAGGCCGATGCTCTCTCCACTGAGCCAAACCGGCCAGGGCGAAAGCATGACTGTTCATCTTACTGGGTGTGGGGACCTCCGACCTCTGGTCTGAAGGATAAGGGGCTGGGACTGAGAGCCTGACAGGCCGCTGCTCCTGCACCAGGCAGCGCCCAGCAGGGCTTCCCTGGAGCTGTGCTCAGCCAGCGCCACCACTTCCCCAGGGGCAATGCTCTCACAGGTTTAAGCCCAGGCAATGGGATCGCTGTGAACACCGCGCTCTCTAGAGCCAGAGGATGGGCTCAGGTAGGTGCTTCCTAACCAAAGGCTCTCCTGGGGTCTGCCCTGCCCAGGGAGGATGGGCCACGTACCCAGGTCGTCGCCCGAGGAGAAGACGGCCGAGCCCAGCCGGGAGCTGTAGTGGCTGTTGGCGAAGGCGGTGAAGCTGCCCTGCAGCCGCCGGTGCTTGGCATACAGGACGGCAAAGCCGACCCCCAGGCTCAGCAGGACCAGGAACAGGACAGGCACCACCACGGCAGCCACGTCGGGAGCCCTGGCAGCCTGAAGCGCTGACGCATCCCCACCTGCAAGGGAAGAGGCAGCCGTCAGCCTCCCAGGGGAGGGCAGGAGCCGGAGTCAGAGCAGGCAGCCCTCACCGCCCCCCACGCAGAACACGGGGAGCCTGCCACACCCGCTCAGACCGCCTGCCGCTGGCCAGGCTCCCGCACTCGGTGCAACGTGGCTCCCGGCTCCCTGCCTGAGCCGACAGACCACAGCCCTTTGCCTGCAAACACGGTAACTACACAAGACTGCTAACCACACCTTGCGGGTTATCGGGTCATCTCTCCGAAGGGAGACCTTTGCTGGGCACCGACACTAGTTTCCTTAGCAACTGCTCAAGCCCATGGGCGTGCCTCGCAGAGGAGGACGGGGTCAGACCGTGTGTGGGAGCCATTGCTCAGTGCTAGGGAATGGGACTGGGATGACTCCCCCACCTCACACCAGGTCCCCCATCTGCACTCCCCGAAGCTTGTGAAGCGACAGTCGGCACTGCTTTCCTGCAACCCGGACTCGTGGGCGCAGGGAGCTTTACAGAGTTTTACTTCAACCGAGAGGGTGAGAACCTTTCTATAAACATTTGACATTGTTTAAAGCTCTGCAAAGCCATGTACGTGTCTCTAACCTGACCACGTGCCTCTTCCCATCGTCTTAAACACACACCAGCTTCACGCCGGCGTCACAGGCTCTGGGGCAGCGATCTCCGGCCGGTGCGCCCTGAGAATGTTCACAACATGCACCCCCTGGCCATGCCGTTGGGGCGCGGACCCTGCTCCCTCAGATCACCAAATAAAAACATGGCAACAGCCAACACAACAACCGCCATCCAGTGTGAACAAATCAAAATTATACTTTTTGGGGTTTTTTGGTCCAATGGGCAAAACTACACCACTTTCTGGTGCTACAGAACTGCAGTCCTTGCCCGGCGGGTGCCAGGAGAGGCAGAGCGGAAGTGCTGCTGTAGAGCAAAGCTGTCCCCTGGGGGGTTAGGGCTGGACCCCCTGAGGGGCAGACTTTTCATCTCAGGAATCCCAGGCAGGATGTGGGGCCTGGGAGCCTGTTCTCTAAGGAAGCACAGTGGATGCTCTGGGTCCCCACGGAGCCGGGGAGCCCCTGGAGCAGGGGAGGGCCTTGGCCGGGCCTGGCCTCAGGCAGAAACTGGCAGCTGCCCAGGGATTCCCCCCAACAGGGTCTCTTGGAGACAGGCCTGGGAGCAGGGTCTCGCCACATATAACAATTCAGTATTTGTGTCTTTAATTTCTTTCATTATTGACTTAGCAAAAACAAAAAGGAGCGTCTATCATGTGTGGCAACCTAACCCCAACTGTGAGGTGGCTATTAGGGGGTGGCTCACGGCTGGGGCAGTCCAGAGGGGGCAGCAGGTGGAAGAGGCAGGAGTAAGGGGGCTCCTGCCTCCAGCACAGCCAAGGCCCAGAGAGTAGCACAGGGCAGGATGCAGACTGGGGGGCGAACCAGGGTTTCCGAGGCAGCGGGCAGGGGTCCTCACAGCAGTGTCCCCAAGTCTGCGTAAAAGTTGCTGATTGGGTCCCCTTAAATGGAGGAAATGCCAGGTCCAAAGTGCTGTTATTAACCCACTGTTTACCAATAGAGCCTCCTTTTAAAGCAACCCTGGGCGACACTCGGCATGTGGTCACTCACACCTGCAGCTCCCACACCTCGCCTGCTCAGGGTGCGTATAAATAAGCCCGTGCTGGGTTAAGTGGGTAGTTTAGTGATTTTCTTTTGAACTGAAAGGATGAGTATTTTAGAAAAGCATCTTTTCAGCAGCCACGCTACGTGCTTAGTGCATTTCCCCGGGACCGAGGTGGGAACTGGAAGCAGCAGACTGACCTGACCCCAGGTCATCGAAGAGCAGCACAGCCGGCTCCCCACAGAGCTGGCTGCCCAGGAGGCAGCTGGCTCGCACGGTGAACGTGTAATTGTGACCCAGCTTCAGGTTGGAGACTTTGAAGAAATTGTCGGTCGTGTTCCCGAGGTAAGCCGTGGTGTTCATGGCGTTATCGAACGCGTGTATCTCGTAGCCCTGGGAACAGACAGCGGGTCAGGAGGCTGAGGAAGGCTGCCCGCTCCATGCCGCTTCCCCTGCCCGACCTCCCCCGCGCGCTCACAGGTGTCAGAGCGCCTTGGGTATCCCACGAGAGCTTTCTGCGTCACCTCTGGGATCCTGGATCCAGAAGACAGGCACTTCCCATCCCAAGCGTCTCAAATACCCCGCAGTGCAGCCCGAACCACAGCCACGCTCGACACCCCACCCCGGCCACACCAAGGCTCTGGCAGCAGCCCACTCGTCTCAGGCAATGTTAGTGCCACCGAGAACCTGGACAATTCAGTACGAGCGGCTGGAATGGGTTCTGCTAATCCTATATAACTAATATGCTAAGTGTCTGGTCATCTGTTCAACCAATCAAAGCATAATATGCTAATGATATGCTAAGGCCACTCAACTGCTCACTATGACATGCACTGACCACCAGGGGGCAGATGCTCCCCGACTGGTAGGCTAGCTTGCTGCTGGGGTCTGGCCGATCGAGCCAGACAGTCCTGATGGAGACGGGCTAGACATGCCCTGGAGCCCTTCCACGGTCCCTCCCCGCCCTAATCGTACACCAGTGGGGCCCCTCGGCCTGGCCTGTGCCCTCTCACAACCCAGGACCCCTCAGGGGATGTCGGAGAGCCGGTTTCGGCCGATGCCACAGGGATCCCTCCTCAGCCCAGGGCTCCTTGTTTTCCGGCTTTTCCAAGCTGGTGGCAGCCCCCTTGGCCCGGCCTTGCCGTAAAGAGGGCTCTGCAGGCTCTGCAGGGCGGATGAAATAAGCACGTTTGCGACTGGCACGGGCTGACTCCTGTGCTGGAAACATCCCAACTGGGACAGTCCTGACCCACATGCCGTGGGCTCCGGACAGACCTGAGGACTCCTGCTGCTTTCCCATAGTCCAGTGTCTAACCCCCACCCCCAACCCAAAACAGACCCACCTGTGGGCCCCACTGCATCCTCAAAGTCTCCTGGTCCCTGACCTGTCTACTCTGGGAACTCCACGTCAGGGGAGGGAGGACGTGCAGGGCTCAGGCAGAGCCACCGGGCTGGGTGGCTGAGCTGCAGCCCCAACCGAGAAGCTGGGCTCCTGCCACCAGGAAGGGCTGATGACAGCCATTGCCAAGCCAAGCCCCAAACGCCAGTCCTCTCCGTGCCCTGGCGCTCCTCACGCTCTAATGCCAAGTCCACCAAGGCATGCAGAAAAGAAGCTAAATGACAGCATCCACCACCTATAACCTATTCTGCATCCTCTTCTGTGGGTGCGCAGGTGTCTCCTCCTTCATAAACACAACTGCCCTGCGGCCTCGCATGCGAACTCTTCACTGTTCGATTCCTGGTCAGGGCACATGCCCAGGTTGAGGGCTTGATTCCCAGTGTGTGTGTGTGGTGGGGGCGGGAGGGGAAGGGGAGGGTGCATGCAAGAGGCAGCCGATCAATGATTCTCTCTCACCACTGATGTTTCCATCTCTCTCTCCCTCTCCCTTCTTCTCTAAAATCATTTAAAAAAATATATAGCAGGCTAATTTTTAAGTTGATAATTTTGTGTGGCCTGTGAGCGATGTCATAAATATCCAAATGCCCCCCCCCCCCGCCGCCCCCGGAGAGGAAAAGGAAAGAACTGCTGGGTCACAGGGTGAACACTTAATGTTTTGATGCCTGTTACCACAGTGCCTTACAGAGGCTGAACCGACTCACATTCCCGGTGCTAACCTCCCCCGTCACCCGACAGGGAGCGCCTCCCTCCGAGCTCCGCCAGTTTAGTGGAAAGAGCAGCCTTTGTTGCTTAGGTCACTAGTGACGTTGAACCTTTTTTCATGTGCTTAACCTGCTGCTGGAACTTTTCACTTCACTTCTGGTACCTTTTTCAAAACTAGAGTGTTTCTGTTGGAACTGCTTTGAGAGCCTTCTTTATATTTACGTGTACTAGTCATTTACATCATGATGGTGGGAGCTGTGAGGACATCCCAACTGTAACTTAGCTTTGCTTCTGCCATGACACTGTGCCTATCTAGAACCTGGGACTCGGCGCACACTAGCCGCCAGGCCGCCCAGGCGTTCCGTCCGCGAAGCTCCGGCTCGGCCAGCGATGGCCTGCCCACCTTGGGCGCCAGCACTGCTCAGTGCTCTCTCCTGCTCTCACTGCTGGAGCAGAGTACCTGGTCTCCGATGAGGCAAACTGAGTGTTTCCTGATGCTGACAGACTACCTGCAGGTGCCTCGGCTCCCGTGAACTTCACAGGAGGAAGCTGCTGAGACGCCAGGTGGGGAGCAGCCTGGACCCAGCACTGGGCACAGCCCCGCCACTGCCGCTGACTGTGGGGAGGGGCCCAGCGCCAGGAGGCCCAGCGGGGCAGCAGGCCTGGGAAGGACGGGCCCAGGGTCAAGATGCTCATCTTCAAAGGGCAGTGTTAGCACTTCACTAGGGAGCAACCCACAGCAGCGGTCCCCAGCCCCGTCCACGCCCTGCCTCGTGCTTCCCTCGCGCCGTTGCCACAGCACAGCCTCCCAGCCAACTGTCCGTCACTGAGGAGGGAGGAACTCACCCTGCTCTCCTGAAAATACTTTTCCTTCAAAGCTAGACTTTTCCAAAACAGGAGGACGTGGTCATTCTCTGTGATGATTTTTAAGGCATCAGGTGCTGACAATGAAACTGAAAATTAACGATGAAATAGGATGCAGTTAGTGACCATACATTTGAATTGCCGTTTTCTTATGTCAAATGGAGACTGAATAATGCTCACCTTGAAGGACCGGGTTAATTTAAGGAGAAAATAAAACATGTGTGCTGCTTAGTACATAGCCTAGCACATGGCAGACACTCTCGAGCTGGCATCTCTCTTAGCCAAGAAACGTGAACAGTATCGAATATAGTAGCCCTCACACCCGAGGAGCCAGAACCAAGCAGGCAGGCTGGAGGGAAGAGTGGGATGGGCTGACCTGGACTCCTGCTGCCGACCCTCCTGCTCTCCTGGTCGTGAGCCAGAGGGGGAGCCGAGCCCAGCGAGGGCGAGGGCGCTCCCTCCGCCAGAACAGCACAGCCAGGCCCCTCCTCTGCAGCCTTCATGGCCAGGGACCCAGCTCTGCCCGCGTTCTGAACTTGACCTGACTACAGAGCAGCCCCGCTGGCAGGATAGGATGCCCCCTTCCTTAGCTGCCCACGCTGGCCCCTCCATTTCTACATCATGTTGCCTCCGGGACCAGGTGGCTTCATCCAGGCCCCCACCGGCGGTGCTTGGCTTTAGTGGCAAATGCGCAATTTTATTTCCTAACTATTTTGGGCATTTCCCCTCAATATCCCTAGAAGTGTCAACACCAGCAACACAGATTCAGAGAGAGAGAGAGAGAGAGAGAGAGAGAGAGAGAGAGAATGAATGAATAAATATGGAATGGACGGCCGCTCCCCAGTTCACAGCACCCGGCTGGTGAGGCCTCGCACTGCTGGCCCGCGTGGACCCTGTGGGCAGTGTCTGTCAGCCCCTCAGAAGGGCCAGCAGCACGCGACCCGCACAGGAGGCCTCTGCCTGCTCACCTGTGGTGACTTTTATGCTGGCATCTTTGCTCATGTTCCCCAGTTGGACAACGACATGGTATTTCCCTCCGGGCTCCAACTTGTTCAGGGTGTATTCCACAGTGCTGTTCCGGGACTTCACTTTGTAGCTCCTGTCGCTCTTTCTTATTAGATCTTTGACTGCAATTGCATACAACTGAGACAAGGAAAGGTAAGTAGAAATGCGGCATTTTCCCCATGGGGGACACCCGTCTCAGGGGCTGTGACCCTCAGCAACACTGTGAGCCCCAAAGTCTGACTCTGCTCTTTAGGAAGCTGTTGGTGGCTAGATCCAATCTCACAACAAGTATTCAATCCCAGAATTGTGCACAGAATTACACTTCAATCCCCAAAGCAATTCTAGCCTAGCCGGTTTGGCTCAGGGGATAGAGCATTGGCCTGCGGACTGAAAGGTCCCAGATTCGATTCAGGTCAAGGGCACATGCCCAAGTTGTGGGCTTGATCCCCAGAAGGGGGGTGAAGGAGGCAGCCAATCAGTGATTCTCATCATTGATGTTTCTGTCTCTCTCTGAAATCAATAAAATATATGTATTTTCAAAAAGCAATTTGAGGGAAAGCCATATGTATTGTGGCAGCAGCAGGGAGAGGGCAGGCAAGGAGAGCCCAGGCGAGTGCTGAACTTGCGCGTCCCCACCCCCGGCATCGCCCGGGATGCTCATGGGAGACACTGAGGGAAAGCGGTGAAGGCGGAAGCTTTCCTCTCTCTCAGGCTGCTTCTCACAGACGGGGACAGGGCACAGTAAAGGGACGGGCAGTGAGTGCAGTAGACTCACTCCTCAGGAAGAAGTCCACAGACAAGGAGAGTCTTAGCAACCACACAGTAAATGCCCCCGGACTGGGGTGGACAGGGCAGAGGGCATGGAGGTGAAGGCAGCCAAGCAGGAGGAAACAGGAGTTTTTCTAGATTCGATGCTTTTCCATTTAGATCAGAACCAGCAAACTTTTATGTGAGGGTCCAGTTAGTAACAGTTGGGCTGTGAAGGCAGAGGGCCAGTACCACAGGACTCAGCTCCGCAATGCGTAGCACAAAAGCAGCCGAGATAACGTGCAGACGATGGAACACCTTGGTTCTAATCACACCATTTTCAAAACCAGGTGACAGCCTGGACTGGCCCGCAGGCCTTTGCCTGACAGTCCACGCTGGAAGGCCAGGGAAGGAGATGTGAGAAGGCAGAGAAGCAGGGGTAAGCCAGGATCCCAGCTGGCAATGAGCGGGGGTGACAACTAAGAAGAGGCACCTATAACAACCCCCATCCTTGGTGGGACAGAAAGAAGGCCCCAGCTGAGCCCCCATCCCCAGGTCTACGGTGCCGGCCCAGGACACCGTCCTCACCCTCACACCTGCCCCCACACCACACTCAGAATACCCAGGGTTCCAGGCCGCTGCGCACTCACCAAGTCCTGGTCAGGGGAGTCATACGGGGACTCCCACTTTATCACAGCGGAGGTCTTGCCCGTGCGCACTGTGTGCAGGTGGCGGGGCGGGAGCCTGCTGTCCGGGATCATCCGCACCACCACCGAGTCGGAGGACGGCCCCTGGTAAGGCACCACCACACGGACCTGCAACAAACACCCGTGCTCTCAGCCGTCGTCATCAACTCATTTCCCAACAAAACAGTGAACCGCGTGCACAACCAAACGCAATCTTACAGAAAGATACACATGTGAACCAACTTCCCACGTGCCCTGAATATCTACTTTATTTTCTCAGAGGTACCACTGGTAACAGCTTGTGTACTTCCTTCCAGAAATGTCTTATGTATATATTAGAGGCCCGGTGCACAAAAATTTGTGCACTCGGCGGGGGGGGGGGTGTCCCTCAGCCTGGCCTGTGCCCTCTCACAGTCTGGGACCCCTCGGGGGATGTCCACCTGCTGGCTTAGGCCCGATCCCCAGGGGGATCGGGCCTAAGCTGGCAGTCAGGCATCTCTCTGGCAGCCCGGGAGCCCTCGGGGGATGTCCACTTGCCAGCGGGGAGCAGACCTAAGCTGCAGTCGGACATCCTTAGTGCTGCTGAGGAGGCGGGAGAGGCTCCCACCACCACCGTTGTACTGGCAGCTGTCAGCCTGGCTTGTGGCTGAGCAGAGATCCCCCATGTGGGAGCGCACTGACCACCAGAGGGCAGCTCCTGCATTGAGCATCTGCCCCCTGGTGGTCCGTGTGTGTCATAGTGACCAGTCATTCCCAGTCGTTCTGCTGTTAGGGTCAATTTGCATATTACCCTTTTATTATATAGGAGTGCCTGGCCAGCCTGGGTGAGGGGCTGATGGCTGTTTACAGGCTGGCCACAGCCCCTTCAGTGTGGGGGTCCCCACTGGGGTGCCTGGCCAGCCTGGGTGAAGGGCTGAGGGCCGTTTTCAGACTGGCCACACCCCCTTCAGGGTGGGGGGGGGGTCCTATAGGGGTGCCTGGCCAGTCTGGGTGAGTGGCTGATGGCAGTTTGCAGGTTGGCCAAGCCCCCCAGTGGGGACCCTCACCCCATGAGGGTGTGGCCAGCCTGGGTGAGTGGCTGATGGCTGTTTGCAGGTTGGCCACAGCCCCTTCAGGGTGGGGGTTTTGCTGGGGTGCCTGGCCAGTCTGGGTGAGGGGCTGAGGGCCGTTTTCAGGCTGGCTAAGCCCCCCAGCGGGGACCCTCACCCCATGAGGGTGTGGCCAGCCTGGGTGAGGGACTGATGGCTGTTTGTAGGCTGGCCACAACCAGCAGCCACCCAAGCTCCCAGTGGACGCTGGCTGGAAGCAGGTATCTGGGATTTATTTGTCTTTTATAATTGAAATTTTGTTGCCATGAGCGGAGGCCTCAGCTGGCTCAGGACTGGTGGGAAGCTTGGCTTCCTCCATCGCCCAGGCAACCAAGCCTCCTGCTTGCTCCAGCTCCGTGGCTGCCAGCCGCCATCTTGGTTGGGTTAATTTGCATATAGTCGCTCTGATTGGCTGGTGGGCATGGCTTAGGGTGTAGCGAAGGTACGGTCAATTAGCATCTTTGTCTTTTATTAGTGTAGATGTACAGATACATGTTCATATAGAAATACAAATATTTGTGTGTGCATAGATATATACTTATATGCATGTGTGTATATGTAATCAATTTTTCCAAAAAGTATTTTTACACATTATGTTCTTAGCATCTTTCACTTAATAAGACAGTCTTTCCTTGATAAACATTTGTTTCAAATATTTTGCTATAACAAGCAATAGTATGTCACAGATCTTTTCCATATATCTTGGCACACGTATAAAAGCATGTAGGCTAATAGCATGACACACATGTAAAAGCATGTAGTCTAACAGCATGGCACGTGTGGGAAAGCATGTAGGCTAACAGCTGGCACGTGTGGAAAAGCATGTAGGCTAACAGCATGGCACGTGTGGGAAAGCATGTAGGCTAACAGCATGGCAGGCATGGAAAAGCATGTAGTCTAACAGCATGGCACGTGTGGGAAAGCATGTAGGCTAACAGCTGGCACGTGTGGAAAAGCATGTAGGCTAACAGCATGGCATGTGTGGGAAAGCATGTAGGCTAACAGCATGGCATGTGTGGGAAAGCATGTAGGCTAACAGCATGGCATGTGTGGGAAAGCATGTAGGCTAACAGCATGGCACGTGTGGGAAAGCATGTAGGCTAACAGCTGGCACATGTGGAAAAGCATGTAGGCTAACAGCATGGCATGTGTGGGAAAGCATGTAGGCTAACAGCATGGCAGGCATGGAAAAGCATGTAGGCTAACAGCATGGCAGGCATGGAAAAGCATGTAGGCTAACAGCATGGCACGTGTGGGAAAGCATGTAGGCTAACAGCATGGCAGGCATGGAAAAGCATGTAGGCTAACAGCATGGCAGGCATGGAAAAGCATGTAGTCTAACAGCATGGCACGTGTGGGAAAGCATGTAGGCTAACAGCATGGCAGGCATGGAAAAGCATGTAGTCTAACAGCTGGCACGTGTGGAAAAGCATGTAGGCTAACAGCATGGCAGGCGTGGAAGAGCATGTAGGATGAATTCCTGTAAGTAGAATGCGACAAAGGGTTTCATCAGTTGCTGTGGCTGCGCGCCGAGTGCTCAGTCCTCCAGTGAAGCCACAGTTGTGTGGCTTCATCATGAGCTCAACTCGTGTGGCCGAGAGGCCAATCGCCCTGTCACACCCGGGCCCTGGACCTCACCTCAGTGCCCCAGGCCTGGTCTGAACTCGGAGCCCGGGAATGAAACCATCCCTTACAGAGAAACTCCCCTGGGCGTTCTGGCACGGGACACTCACCAGAAACAAGTACTGCTCGTCCCTCCCAACAGTGACTGTCTTGTTGTGGAGCGAAGTCGTCAAGCTCTTCGGGTTCCGATAGAGGTCAAGGAAGGACGTGGCATAGAAGATGCCATACACCTGACAGGAGAACAGGAGGGGCGTCAGCTCCGTGGCCATGACCTACCGTTCCCTTGAAATCCTAATGTAGACCCTGGGACCAGGTCACAGAGCCCAGAGAGCAGTCTTCACTCCATGTCCATTTCATCAGCGTTTATGGCCAAGGCACATGAGCCGGGCACTGTACTTGCTAGAGGTAAGTAAGGTGCGGGCTCTGTCCTCACAGAGGCAGAGAAGGAAAACAGATAAGTAGCAAGTTGCCAACACATTGTCAGGAGCTCCATAGAGGGGATCTCCAAAGCCGCAGCCCTCTACCAGGTGCCGGGCACTGTACTTGCGGGAGGTGGGAGCTAGCAGACTGGGGGGAGGTGGGAGCTTGCAGACTGGGAGGGAGGTGGCAGCTTGCAGACTTGTCAGGAGCTCCATAGAGGGGAGGTGGGAGCTTGCAGACTGGGAGGGAGGTGGCAGCTTGCAGACTAGGGGGAGGTGGGAGCTTGCAGACTGGGAGGGGGCCGCAGGGTAACACAGCAGCTGCCCGAGGAGACCAGCTCTGCATCCCTCCTCAGCTGAGTCCTGCTCTTAGTGAGAAGTGCTGCCTAAAAGGAGTCCACATTCCCGCCTCCCTCAAAGCTAGGTGAGCCACATGACAGTCCTAGTCGATGGGATACAGCCGAGTGCTACGGGCCTCTGAGGGGGTCCTGCTTCCTGCCCCCCACCGCCCAGATGCAGGTGAGGGTGTGGCTCCAGGAGCCTCTGGACCCAGAGGTGACCTGGAAGACAGACGCCAGCTGCAGGGTCTGGCCTGGGTCCCAATCAAACCAGGCTGCAGCTGCGGAAGCCGGGCGGCTGGACTTGGGACGGAACACGATGGTCTATGGCCACGTGACATTCCATGTCCATCCTGTGCAGCCGGAACTCACTGACACCCGCGGGAAAGGGACGAGTCACAGCGGGGAAGGAGAATGTGAGGGCGGAGTGGGAGCCGGGAGCTGATAGTGGGAGGTGCCGAGTGCGCTTCTTTGTAAGTAAAGCCACAAAGCATGGTCTCCAAGAGCGGTTTCTTCAGCGAAAGAGAGGAAACGGGAAGGCCAGGGCAGCCAGGGAAGGAGGGAGCGATCAGGCCACGCAAGGGTCCCGTCCCAGCAGCTCAGCGTGTTCCTCCGGCACTGCCTGCAGCCAGGACAGGGAGGGGAGAGCCGGGGTCCCCCGGGGGACAGACTCGAGGTGAGGAGAGAAAGAATTAGGGGCTGGAAGGGGGTGAAAAGCAATTATGAATAGAGTGGGACCAGGAAAATGAGGGGGCTCCAGCATGAGATGGGACAAGGAGGCCAAAACAGGCCGAGCACAGCGAGGACAAGCCTCTGACCACCACAGGGGGAGGACCAGCCTGGGAGCACTGCGGGGGGAGGACCAGCCCGGGAGCACCGCGGGGGGAGGACCAGCCCGGGAGCACCGCGGGGGGAGGACCAGCCCGGGAGCACCGTGGGGGGAGGACCAGCCCGGGAGCACCGCGGGGGGAGGACCAGCCTGGGAGCACTGGGGTCGGGGGAGGACCAGCCCGGGAGCACCGTGGGGGACCAGCCTGGGAGCACTGGGGTCGGGGGGAGGACCAGCTCCGGAGCACTGTGGGGGGAGGACCAGCCCGGGAGCACTGTAGGGGGAGGACCAGCCCGGGAGCACTCTGGGGGGGAGGACCAGCCTGGGAGCACTGTAGGGGGAGGACCAGCCCGGGAGCACTGTAGGGGGAGGACCATCTTGGGAGCACTGTGGGGGGAGGACCAGCCCGGGAGCACCGCGGGAGGGAAAGGGGTCCAGGAGCCAAGGGCCAGGTGTGAGGAGGCCGGCACAGCATAGGGACGAGGAAAGTCGCTGTCAGGTGGGGGCACAATGAGGGAGATGCCGGAGTCCTGGGGGCAGCAAAGGAGGTGACCGCCTCCACAGGTACCTGGGCCCCCTCCCTCCGAAGCTACCTCAGCAAGAGGAGGCGAGCAGGCTACCTCGGCCCAATTCAGGGAACCAGAGAGCCAGGCCCGTCCCAGCGCCTGCGCATTCGCCTCGCTGGGGGGCAGCTGGGTGACCAGGGTGTCCCTCAGCGGGGGTGTAACGGAAAGCAAGGCCCGTTGTTAGCAGAGTCCACTTCGAGGTGAAGGGTCAGGCTGGGCATTCCTGACTCCACCCCGCCCCGCCCCGCCCGGCACTGGGTTCTGCAGCCACGGGAGAGGGGCTAGGAGCCCTGTCTCCCGCTCCGAGAGCTCCAACGCTGGCCAATCTCTCAGTCTGAGCCTCAGTCTCCTCACGGGTAAAGGAGCATGTTCCCCACTGAGCTGCTGGCGGAGGAAGTGGGAGGAGGTGTGTGAGGGCTCCAGCTGTGCCCGGCACCCAGGGGGCACCCAGTAACCTGTGTTTCCTTCCTTCTTCGTGGCTGAGCTTGCAGTTACCTGCAAACTTGGTCTCACCCCCAGGAATCAGCCCTGCACCCAGTGCACTGGGTGCCTGCGGTGGACAAGCCACAGGCCGCGTCCCCCCACAGCCCCTGAGGACGCCCTGATTCTCAACGACAGATTGGCTCCCTGTCCTCTTCCACTCAGCAAACCCGGAAAACACTGCTTCCCTGCAAGGAGCTTGCAAACTACTCAAGGAGATTAGAGAACGGATAGAAGCATCAAATAGCCCGGCCAGCTTGGCTCAGTGGTTGAGCTTCGACCTACTAGTATGAACCGGGAGGTCACGGTTCGATTCCAGATCAGGGCACATGCCCCGGTTACGGGCTGGATCCCCAGTCTGGGGCCTGCAGGAGGCAGCCAGTCAATGATTCTCTCTCATCACTGATGTTTCTTTCTTTCTCTCTCTCTCCTCTCTCTCTCTCTCTCTCTCTCTTTCTCTCTCTCTCTCTCTCTTCATCTCTGATATCAATAAATGCATCTTTAAAAAAGAAGAGAGAAAGCATCAAATGGGATCAGCGGTAGCTAATGAAACATTACTCCATATGGACCCAACTGTAACGGTTTCAGGAGCCTCTGGGGTAAGAGGCCAAGGAGCAGAGAGCAGGATGTGACTGCACAGCAGGAGGAGGGCTCAGGGAGGTGAGCACACAAGCCCTGGGAAGACCCTCCTGAAGGTTAAGGAAGGGACTCACTGGAGAGAGGGGAAGTAACAGCCAGACTCGGAAAGAAGCACAAACTTAATCACAGGGAATCAAAATGCACATATAAGAACAAACACAAAGACCAGCATTCAAGTGCAGTGGGGACATGGAATGGGGGGCGGTGCCCAGAGAAGGCAGCCTGGGGGTAGGGGTCACCTGTGGTGGGAGGGGATGGAAATGTGTCACCATGCCGACACCTGAGCCAGGGGAGGCCCACGAACTGGAGCAGCCACCTCTTCCCACGCACGCTCCACACACCAACACACAGCAAGGGCACTTCCTCTCCGGGGCCAGCCAGAGGGAGAAAGGGGTGCTGGGCTGGGATGTCAGGTGCCTCTACAGGTACCCAGAGCTGACCAGGAGGGTGGCTGAGCTTCGGGTGAGAAAGGATGAAACAGCCAGAGGAGAGAGCCCAGCGCTGCCCGAGACCTAGAATCAGGGGGTCCGCACCCCTGGCTCACTCACCACATCCCGGGGCCCAGTCCAGGTGCATTCCACAGCCGTCTGGTTAAGGGCTTTGGCTTTGAGGCTGGGAGCCGGAGGGCGGACTCCTTTGGTCACGATGTGCTCGAATGCCAGAGGACTGTCCCCTAGGTCGGTCCTGGCCCAGGCGGCAATCTCGTACGATGTCTGCGCTGTCAGATTGCCCACTGTGGAAACAGGAAGAGGAGACGCGGGAGGGAGCTGGGGTGGGAGTCGAGAACTGGCGTCCTGACAGGCACAACCTCTCAGTTAGTGAGGCCCCAGGTGGCGGGCTTTCGCTGTCACAGAAGCGCTGTTGCTGACTGATGACCACCACAGCGCCTAACCTCCGGTCAGCCGTCCCATGGAATCAGAGGGGCCAGACAAGGTGCAACCAACATGGACATTAGCGTTTCTTACAGCGGAAAACCTGCACACAGTCGGACCGCTGAGGGTGGGCCATCATCACACAACGCACATTCCACAAACTCCACGTGTGTCCCATCCACTGTGACGGAGCCCCTAAAAGCTGTCTCCAAGGATATTTAACGAGAGCGAAAAGTCTTTACAATTTTATGTTAAGTGAAAAGGGCAGGCGATAACGCTGCATAGAAGTGTTCCGACTTTAGAGCTCCTACTCATTCAGGAGACATCTGAAGTTCAAAAGTGGTCTTCCCGGGAAGTGAAATTGTGGGAAATTTTAAACGGTCACTGCACTTGTCTTGTTTTCTCAATGTTCTGTCATGAACGGTGCCCTTTCTCTGTGGGTGGCAATGTCGCTATGGAGCGAAGAGCGGTGAGCAGGGACTCCGCAGAGCACCTGGGACCGGAGGCTCCACGCTCAGTGCATTCCCAGGTTAAAGCGGTCAGACTCCCTAAGCCCACTGTTTTTGTGAGAGAGAGAAGCAGAACAGCACGTTTAAAGAAAATGCTTGTGAAGTGCTCGGCGTGATGCCGGCATCGAGCGGCCCTCCGCGCCCCCAGGCTGAGCCTTCCTGCTGACTGCCGACCCCCAGTGTGCCACCGAGGCCCGAGGCCACCGGCTCTGGAATGAGAAAGACGTGGGTTCAAAACTGGCTCTACCACCTTCTGAGGGGATTACTGCAGCTCTGAGCCTTGTTTTCTCATCAGTAAATAAGACCCATCCCACAGACTGGTTATTGGGGTCACGCAAAACACACGCCCCGAGAGCCTCGGCAAGCAAGCGCCTGCACACAGTAGGTGCCGACGTCACTTTTATTCTTGTGCAACCTCGTGGGCAGCTTTCCTCTTCCACACACACAGACAGTCCTCACTCAGCCGTGAGGAACCACATGACCAACAGCTCTGCAGACAGGCCAGCGGGGAAGGGAAGATGCCCCGTGTCCTCCCAGGACCCACAGGCAGCCTTCTTCCTGGAGGGTCTCCCTGGCAGAATTTAAATCTTCCCTTGAGTCCTGGCCAGTTGGCTCAGTGGATAGAGCGTCGGCCTGTGGACTGAGGGGCCCCAGGTTCGATTCCGGTCGAGGGTACGTACCTCGGTTGCAGGCTCCTCCCCAGCCCGGGCCCTGGTCAAGGCTTGTGTAGGAGGCAACCCATCAATGTGTTTCTCTCACATTGATGTTTCTCTCTGTCTTTCCCTCCCTCTTACACTCTCTCTAAAAATCAAGGGGGAAATATCCTTGGGTGAGGATTAAAAAAAAAATCTCTCCTTGAGCCCATTTTCAAAGATGAGCATTTTCACTGAGACTCGGAATGCACACAGAGGTAAGGGGAATAAGACGATGTCCTTCCCTCCTTAGCCCAGCTTGTCCGTCCACTCACTCGACCAATATACACTGAACACTGACTATGCCCAGGCCCTGAGCTCCCTCGTATCAGCCAAGAAGGAGCCAACGAAAGCAGGAGAGAGACAGGTAACTGACCTGGGAGCTCTTTCCATTGGAACTAAACAGCCTCTGCATGAGGCTAATCTGGCTTCACTCCAGTGTTTTCCCCTTTAAGTCTCCAACTTCCATTAAGAGCCACCAGGGTAGAGGGGCTTGTGGATCCCTCCCTGGAGTCGGGAGTCACTCACATCCTCACTGCCACCCGCACGGCAGCCAGGAGGCCTCCGTGCACACGCTCTCCCCACGCCTCCCCTCACGGCTCTGCTGCCAGGAAACGGGCCTAGCCCATCCTCCGGCTCACACAGACCAGCTCCAAGGGGTTACCTTTGTGGGACAACATGCTCCCTCGAAAGTTCAAAGTCCTCTTCTCTTGTCTGTGAGTGTCAAATGCCCAAAAGAGGTTCACCACGTAGCCATTCACCTGCCACAGACCAAGAACGAGGTCACCAACAGTCCAGCCACGGAGCCCCCATCGGAGACGGCACCCCTCCTGCGGGCTCTGCTGCCGCACGTCCCGATGGGGGTTGTTCCTTTTGGTCTTTACACGAATTCCGCGTGTGCTGCAGCGAGGGCTAGTGCACGCCCCGTTCTAAAGCCAGGTGGGAGGCCACTGACGATGTAAAATACACAGTCAGTGAAACAAAAATTAAATAGAATAAAAGGACAAGAACCAATGCAGAGAGGCAGAAGGAGGGGAAAATGAAGAAGAATTAGGTCCTGGTAATTAAAGATACATTGACGCTCAGGTGGTCCTTGCAGTGAAGGCCAAGAGGTTCAGTGCTCGCAGGAGCGAGCGTGCCCAGACCTCAGTGCTCGCAGGAGCGAGCGTGCCCAGACCTCAGTGCTCGCAGGAGCGAGCGTGCCCAGGCCCAGGAAGCCGGCCTCCTCCAGGTCCTGAGCTCATGGAAAAGTCGGACCTAAAGATCTTTAAATATGAGACAACAAACAAAACAAGAATGCTTTCAAGACCAAAGACAAGATGGACATGCTCCACTCGGAGGCTGCTTCTCGCACCGACCGTCTCGGAAGGAGGGCTTAACAGCAAACTGCAGCGCAGTGAACGGCAGAGACTGAAGGCTTCTGTCTGTCTGTCCCCCACACACTTCACAGACAGGATGATGTGAGGAGCAACAGGCAAGAAAGAACCCGAGAACCCGGGGCGCAGGTGACTATGGGAAGTCGGCCGTGCGGCTGGCTGAGCAGAGGGACGGGGATGGTGGAAGAGGGATGGGGTGAAGGGAGTGGAGGTGCTTCCACGTAGGTGACTCTCTCATAAGACGCGTCCATGGTGGCGCCCCTGCATCAGCACCAGCACCAGGCGATCCCATGGCGCTGAGCACTGCAGGGCACGCGTCCTGTCGGCACTGGCCTGTTGGAACCGGAACCGTGGCTGCGAACCACTTAGTTACATGATGTGGGAAAGGCTCCAGCTGAGGCCGCACACTCCCGATGCAGGCTCAGGGCTCTCCGTGGGAGGAGCCGCCGTGGGCTCCAGTGTCACTGGCCCATCCCTTGTTTCCTCACTGCACTGGGTCACCGCCCGCCTGCCAGCCGCGTGCCCGCGTTACCTGGACGTCGCTCTGCGTGGTCAGGGTGAAGCTCACAGAACTCTCGGTGCAGCCGTCGATGTGGATGTCCGGAGGAGGGATCACTGAAAGAACCAACAAGAGGCGTCAGGGGAGGGGAGGCGGCAGGACCGAGCACTCCTCGGCGGAGGGAAGGCGTCTCCTTGCTGTTTGTGATGGTCTCTCGTAGCCCTGCTTCCCGAGCTGAGGGGTCCCAGCCACCTGGCGACCACCGCTCCCGGGGCTCACTTAGCTCTCCTGCAGTGACGCCGGCGGGAAAGTTCCATTATGTCGATGCCCAACAACCCGTGCCCGCCCAGGCAGAGGCCGCGGTGCCCCTTCACTGGCACAAATAACGACCCTGTGGCCTGGTCCCTTTGGGAGGACGACAGCAGAGTAAACAGCAGGCCATGGCAAACGGAAAGAACCTAGTCCAGAGTCTGGCAAACCCAGTTCAACCTCCCGCTCAGACGCTAACAAGGAGTAGCCACCCATCCTCCCGAGAGGCGATCTACACTCCAGAGGCCAGGGCATCCCGTGGGGACGCCCGTAAGGGTCTGGCTCTCAGCTACACCTCTCCTCTCCTGTGAAGCCTCCTGTGGGAGCCTGGCATCCAGAGGAAGCGCGCGCCCGCTGAGAGCCGCGGGGAGGGGCAGCAGGCAAAGGCTGCTCCACGTCCCCGACCCGCTGACAGGCTCCTGCCCCAAACCTGAAGGGCTCAGGGGATGCGTGGTGCAGGGCACAGGCAGGAGAGACTCAAGAAGTGGACACCACCTGCTGGCAGAGACAGCAAGACCTGGGGTTTCTCGGATCATCAGCCATTAATGACGCTGGGCTCGAGGAAACAGCACCAGGGAAGGAGCACCGCCAGGCGTGCCCGGCGGCAGTGCCGTGAGGAAGCTACCCGCATGACCACCGTGCTGCAGCGTGCGCGGGGCGGGCCACTCTGCGGACTCGCTCCTCAGCCACAGCAGGTGCACTGTCAGACTCGTGGGATCAATGAGAATCAGAGGAGATCGATTCACGTAAAACAACAAAGTGGTACTCAGGCCACAAAAAGTGTTGCTGAACAGTGGCTTGTCTCATTGTTACTATTCATCCACCACATTCAATAATTAATCTGGTCGATGCCACTGCTATTCTTCTCCTTCATCCTCTTTCTTAATCCTTATCTGAGGATAATTTTCCACTGATTCTTAGAGAGAGTATAAGAGAGAGGGAAAGTCAGAGAAATCTCGGTATGAGAGAAACACATCGATTGGTTGCCTCCTGCACATGCCCCTACCAGGGCCCAGACTGGGGAGGAGCCTGCAACCAAGGTATGTGCCCTTGACCAGGGATCGAACCTGGGACCCTTTAGTCCGCAGGCCGACCTCTATCCACTGAGCCAAACCAGCCAGGGCCTTCATCTTCTTAACATTATGACATTTCACAACAAATACTTCTGACTCAGTACAGAGCTGCCTCCTGCACGTACCCGAACCAGAACAGGCCAGGGGCCAGGTTCCTCAGGCCGAAGGGTTTAAGAGAAGCAAAGGCAGATGTGACTATGCCCGGGAGCTCAAGGTGCTGACCTTCCAAAGCACCTGGCTGTAGTACATCCAGTCAGTCATATTTTGACCCTGCCTTTGTGCAAGGACACGATACCACAATAAAAGCCCCGGGCAGTGGAATTCAGCACCTGCTCCAATCCCCACAGCACCTGCTCCAAAGCCTCCGCTGGATTTGGCTGCCTCCCAGCCTGATCTCGACCAGACAGGGACTCTTCCGGACCCGGAGCCGATCTCTCACAGGTTCAGGCAAAGGTAAGATACCCAAGACATTCCACGTGCCCCCTGACTCCAGCGTCCATGCCCACAGTCCATCAACAAAGCCCCAGGCACCACGGCAACATCGGGAGCCGCCTCTGCCTCCCCATCAGCGTGCACAGCCTCCACTTAATCGCTTCCTTTCACTCTCACCAACTGTCTCCTGGGTTCCTGCTCGGGGCCAGCGGCAGAGCAGAGGGAGCAGAGCGGCCTCTGCCCTCACGAGGCACCGGCCCCCAGCACGCGGGCCACGCGGGCCACAGGCCTGTCTCGCTGCCGCAGGTTCACGGCGGCTCAGGCACAGGCATGGGCAGCGGATCTGGCTCCTCTCCACTGGCACAGACTAGGTGACAAGTGACGTGGCCTCTTTGCAGTCCCTCGTTTGTCCCTGCAGGTGATCTGAGGGGTCACTTAATGAGGGGTCACTGAGCCAGCGGCTGTCCCTACACCAGCTCCTGGGCTGGACACGGCCACCTGCACGTTGATGGAGCTGCCGGAACACAGCCCAGCGCCAGATGGACATGCACACGAGGCCGTCACCTTCTGCAGAGGAGAGGGTGCCGGCGCACACACAGCGGGCCAGGCCTGGTGGCCTCTGCAAACCCTTTGCATGTTGCATTAGAAGAAGTGCCCAGTTCCCAGAGGAGGCATGCCTTCCTGTCACCCAGGGCGCCCGCACCCGTGTCGGGGGGAGGGGGCGGGGTGGAAGGTCGTGTGACGCTCTCTAACCCCGCCCTCCTTCCCCAGGCACGCCCAGTGCCTCTGCAAGTCGCTCTTTTCTCTGAATCTGCGACCTGGAACCACGCACCTCTTCCCCGTGTGGTGGTGATGGATTTGGAGTCGCTCCAGTTTCCTATTCCACGGCTCGTCACCGCAGCCACCTGTTCAAATAGAGTGAACTCTGCATGAAACACAGGCCGTAACCACACAGCCAGACTCCCAGGGGCCAAGGAGAGAGACCTGGGCAGTGAGGTGTCACAGGTACAGGCAGGGGCCAGGACACTCAGAGGCCCCGCACCTGAAAAAGGGAAGAGGTGGGGGCGGGGGGCCTGGGGGAAAGGGAGCTGCGAGCACTGAGGTCAGGACATGACTAGGACGATGAAGCCCGGTCTTCCTGAGGAGCAGGGGAGTGTGCGCCCATAAACGCACACATAAGTGTGCACATACATGACAACGGCGCTGAGCCTTCCAGTGTGAGGGAGTCTGTGTATGCACTTCACGGTCTCAAACATGTTTGCACAAAATCTCTCTCTTTTCTGCGGGGGATACTGACAGCGTGTTTTATAAGAACTTCACAGCACCCGTCTGCAAAGGCCGGGCATAGCTCTGCACGCCCTGAGGCTGCAACAGGAGAGGAGAGGTCGCGCAGAAGCACATGAGCTGGAGAGTTAGCAGAATATCGGGCAAAGCAGGGCTCCCAGAAACCCTCGGGTCTGAGGGGCGTCTGATTTCAGGTTCTCTGGGACGGGACGCGGGTAAGAGACGGAAAGAAACAGCGGCCGCAGGGCGAGGCCGGGAATAAAGGTCTCAGGAAGGCAAGCAGGGCGCCGCGTGCTCAGGAGCAGCCCCGTCCCCCACGGCCCGAGCCTGAGCGAGCGAGGCTGCAGGGGCGCAGCTCACCCTGACGGTGTACTGAGCGCCGACCAGCAAGTTCCTGATCTCCGTGACGTTGCTCGCCGCCCTCTGGGAGGCCCAGGTCCTGGAGCCGCTCCTGCTGTACTCCACCTGACGTGAGAAGAAACACGTGTTAGTGAAAGGCCATCACAGGTCGGAGCACCCTGACGCCTCACAGGGGCCAGAGAGCCGACGGGAAATGGGAGCTGTTCTAAGAGGTGATCGTTATTCACGAGGTCACATCCAACCAAATCCGAGTCCCACGGAAGGCGCTTCTGCTCCGCAGCGCCCAGCAGGCACTCACAATGTACTCTCGCACGAGGCCCTGGCTGTGGGCGGGAGGGGCCCAGTGGCCCACAATCGCTCCTTCCTCGTCCCGGGGCAGGGACAGCTGGAGGTTCCGAGGGGCGTCGGGCACTAGGAGAGAGGCAGGGGGTTAAACACGTCTGCACACCGGTCCCTGGGGGAGTCCTGAGCTTCGCACGAGGACGAGAGGGGTCTGGACCGGCCTGTGACCTCTCCACCAGGCAGGCTGCTGCTGGTCCCCACACGACAGGAAAGGCTCGGCCTGGTCGTGGCTCACGGGGCTTTAATTACCCTGGCGGCTTTAATTACCCTGGCGGGTCTCCCCACCTCCCAGGGCCTCCCCGTTATGAACCCCTTGGGAAAGACCCCAGCAAAGCTTCCAAAGCCCCCTCATTTGGTTTGGGTTGAACCAATCCAGCCTTCGCTGGGAACCTCGGGGCACGCCACCCAGGACCCAATGCAGGCCCTGCTGCTCTGCCTGCACTGTCCTGACCTCCCGGGTGACCTGAGGCACACGGGCCTCCTGAGGGTCCGAGGGGCGCCCTCTCCACCCGGCTTCCCCGTGGGCTCTGGAGGCTACTCAACGCCAGGCCCACTGAACGATGTTCGTGTTAAATGTTAACACACAGGTCCGCGTGGCAGCAGCTAACGCAGAGCTCACGAGGCCGTGGACGCGGGAGCCTCGGACACACGCGTGTGGGGCAGTATCTTTACACTGAGCCACACATCTCTGACATGCCTCATATCTTAACGACCATGGGCTCTTAAGGGCCAAGCACTGGGAAACCCCTGAAGACAGAAGGCAGAAGCATAGACTCGGTAACAAATGCAAAACAGGGCAGTGGTGGGCAGAATCTGAATGCACCTTCGTAGGCTAATTGTGTGACTTAATAAGGGTAAATGTCCACCCTGGCCGGTGTGGCTCAGTGGACAGAGCACTGGCCTGTGGATTAAAGGGTCCCGGGTTTGATTCCAGTCAAGGGCACCTGCCCAGGTTGCGGGCTTGGTCCTCAGCAGGGGGTGTGTAGGAGGCAGCCAATCAATGATTCCCTCTCATCATTGATGTTTCTCTCTCTCTCTCTCTCTCTCTCTCTCTCTCTCTTCCTCTCTGAAATCAGTAAAATACATTTAAAAAAGAAGAAGAAATGTCCAGCAACGTAGGCAGGACCACAGAGCAGCCGCCCTGCGTCTACGCCTGAGGCATGTGGCCCCGCACCCTCCCCGAGGGCCCCCAGGAACCCGAGACACCACGCCAGGCCTGTCGGGCGCAGCACGGGCAGCACTTACGCCCCTCGGGGGTCCGCAGCGTTAGGACGTCGTTGGTGCTGTGCACCTTGCTCAGGCACTGCACCTGCACCTTCACCTGGTACGTGGTGTCCGGCTTCAGGACTCGGAGCCTCGTGTTGGTTTTGTTGCTGTGGGTCTCCAGGGTCTTCCAGAGGCTCTCCCCCACCACCCTGGCCAACAGAATAGAGGCAGGTCACACGGAGGCGGGCGGCGAGATGCCCACCCGTGAACAGAGCCCTTCCCTGCACAGCACAGTGCTGCTTTCTGCCCGAGGGAGATAGGACCTGGAGACGGGGAGGACCCGCTCCCTCCCCCTGGGAGACAGGGCCCGGAGACAAAGAGGACCCCCTCCCTCCCCCTGGAGACAGGGCCCTGGGGTGGGGAGGACCCGCTACCTCCCCCTGGAGACAGGGCTGCCGGAGGCCGGTCCATCCTAGTTAATATGTTTGCTCCCTTTAGCGCCATGTGTTTTAACCAAGGTCACCTCTCCGAGAAAGGTTGTTTCCCCAGGTGGGGATCTTTCCCTGAGGTTAGGGAGGGGATACAACCCCTTAATTGGGTGCCAGGCGGGTAATTAAGCTACATGGTCTTTACTCCCTGGAATGGAGATGAGAAACACCTTACAGGATTGAAATCGGCTGGTATAAATACGGATGTAATAAGACAATAAACGTCAGATCCTCATCAGTTCCTGACCAGAACTCCGACCAGAACTTTGGCTGGAGATCCTGGCTATAGGTCCTGACTAGGCTGCTGACCAACTGAAGGCTGTCTTCGTGTCATTCCTTCTTCGCCGACTCCGTCCACACCTTTGGGGACCCCTGGACCTGCTGGGATTGGACCCCAGCACAGGGCCCTGGAGACGGGAGGACCAGCTCCCTCCCCCTGGAGACAGGGCCCCGGAGACGGGAGGACCTGCTCCCTCCCCCTGGAGACAGGGCCGCGGAGACAGAGAGGACCTGCTCCCTCCCCCTGGGAGACAGGGCCCCGGAGACAGAGAGGACCCGCTCCCTCCCCCTGGAGACAGGGCCCTGGAGACAGAGAGGACCTGCTCCCTCCCCCTGGAGACAGGGCCCCGGAGACGGGAGGACCTGCTCCCTCCCCCTGGGAGACAGGGCCGCGGAGACAGAGAGGACCTGCTCCCTCCCCCTGGGAGACAGGGCCCCGGAGACAGAGAGGACCCGCTCCCTCCCCCTGGAGACAGGGCCCTGGAGACAGAGAGGACCTGCTCCCTCCCCCTGGAGACAGGGCCGCGGAGACGGGAGGACCTGCTCCCTCCCCCTGGAGACAGGGCCCCGGAGACGGGAGGACCTGCTCCCTCCCCCTGGAGACAGGGCCCCGGAGACGGGAGGACCCCCTCTCTCCCTGCAGGAGGACCCACCTGTAGTAGACATTATACACACAGGAAGCAGAAGGCATCTTCTTGGGCCGCATCCAGGTCAAAGTGACATCCCCAGAGAAGTCGGCCGTCCACTGCAGGTGCTGCACTTGTACACAGTCAGTTCATCTGGAGAGAAGAGACACAGAGAAGAGAGCTCACACATTCTTGGATTTCAGAAGAGTCCAGAGGCTCTTGATATGGGCAGACCTCCATGACCTAGACGGCCAAGCCACACTGTCACCTAAAGATGTCCCCAGGGCTTCCTAGCTTTCCCCTCCTTGTCTACACTCATTTAAAGCCACTTCTCAATAGAGGGGGCTGGGTACAGGCCTGTGTCACAGCAGGGCTGCTGCTGCTGCTGCAGACTAACCGTGTTCCCTCAGAACCCACGTGCTGAAAACTAATGCCGGACGGCTCAGCGGGTGGGTCCCTGGGAGGTGGTTAGGGCATGAGGCTGGAGCCACATGAATGAGCGAAGTGTCCACATGAGACCTAGAGAGCTGCCTCGTTACCTCCCCGAGGACACAGTGGGAACCAGGAGACGGACAGGGATCCTGCTGGTGACTGGGTCTGGACGCTCGGTCTCCAGACTGAAAACTAAATGCCTGCTCTTTGTAAGCCACCCAGTCTGCGTGCTCTGTGTGGCACCGAAGGGACTGAGGCCACTACTCAATTCATTCCAGACGGAAGTGCCAGGCCTTGTGGGAGCAATGGTGCAGCAGCCTGGGGTGGGGAGCCAGGAAAACAGGCTCAAGACCAGCCTTTCCCACAGGCATGGGGAGCTGGAAGCCTTCCCACAGGCACGGGGAGCCTTCCCACAGGCATGGGGAGCTTTTCCCACAGGCATGGGGAGCCTTTCCCACAGGCATGGGGAGCTGGGAACCTTCCCACAGGCATGGGGAGCTGGGAGCCATGCCAGGGGCTGGCTCAGACTGAGGACAAACTCAGAGGGTTCTCTCCAGTGGCCCCAAGGGACGAGGCTGGGGCGGGGAACGAGGCTGTGCCAGGGGATAAGGCTGGGCCCTGGGGGGGTGGAGGGGGGCGAAGGGGGAGACCAGGCTGGGCACTCACCGCTGCAGGCCTGCTCGTCGCTCTCATCCGCACAGTCCAGGAAGCCGTCACAGCGCTCCGAGGGCCGCAGGCAGGCCTCACCGTCCGCACATGGGAACTCGCCGCTCGCACAGGCCAGGGCACCGCGTGTGGCTGCAACACAGGGGGCCGTGCTGTGTGAGCATCTGCAGGTGTAGGAACAGGGTTTGCCCCGAGGATGAGCAGTGACTGAGCAGGCGCCACAGGGCCTGCTTCTGACGGGAAGTGGCATCTGCTCCGTGACACTCGGAACCTGGGGGCACACTGGGGCTCGATCCCGGCTCGGCATGATCTGCAGCAAACCACTGAACAGCACGAGCTCCATTCCCGTCTACACAACCGGGGACAATCCCATCAGTCGTGTCTCCCAGGATCCAGAAGCAGCGGGAGGTCAGGATGCTTAACCATGTGTACGCCATAAGCATCTACAGACGCAAGTGGAAGACCTTTTTAAACTAAATTCAAAATACTGTGGCAGTTAACTGGTTAAGGGGCTCTCTCTCTAGCCCCCCAAACCGTGCCGTCATTTAGCCTGTTTGTCAGGTGAGGGAGCCTCCTGCCCGCAGTCCCACATTGGCCTCTTCCCAGCTGCAGCCCCAGATCAGGGTTCCTTCCTTAGAGACGCCAGTGCTCGGTGCAGCCCTGGCGGGCAGGATGCCGACAGTAATCGCTATTTCTGTCCCAGCGGCAGTCAGAATGACACTCTGATTTCCGGTTTGAGTCATGCTAATAATGACGACATGATCACAACACTGAGAGGCAGCCCCTCATTATGTGGTATTTTAACTGTATAGGTTTCAAAGTATTTACCAGGAAATGAAAGAGTGCACACAAAGAGCATTGAGTGACACGAGTGACCCGACCCTACAACTATGAACCGCAATCAGATTCCCTCTCGTTCTAAAGGAGGTAAGCTGCATCAGGCTCTAAAGAGCAAGCAGTGACCACATAATAGCAGATGATTATCCAAAGGGAGAAGAGGAGGAAGGCTACAGAAAAGATGTAAGCCTACTGCCCCACGTGAGTTTGGGCTGACCAAGGCCCAGGGGTTCAGCCTTCATTACAGACTCCCACGGGCCTGCTGAAGGTCACCTTACGTGGCAGGTGTGATTGAGCTAATGGCCCCGACGTCGGAAGCGCATCCAGGATCATGGGGGGAGGGGCAATCCAACCGTGCGGCCCTGAGAGACCTTCCAGGCTGCAGTCGGAGAGGAGGGTGAGGTCAGAAGCAGCACCTGAGACGGACCTGCTGGTCAGACACGGAGGAAGGCGCCTCTCACAGCCAGAATAGCAAGGAACTGATCTCTCCTGCCGCCACCAGAAAAGCAGCCCTGCCCACATGCTGGTTTTAGTCAGGAAAACCTACGTCCGATTTCTGACCCACAAACTATAGAAAGTAACTGCTTTTTAAGATGTTAGGTTTGTGGTGACTGTTGCACACAATCGATCCTCTGCACTTGGCGATGCTACTGGGTTTCTGAGTTCAAATTCTCATTTCTCTATTGGGATTCAAGACCAAACTCCTCCCAGCTCCTTCTCCCCACCCCACGCAAAATGCACTCAATATTCCATGCGATGACTATCCCGATATTACAAGAAATTACCTGAGATCACTAAGCCATGTAGATTCTGAGAGCAGAGAATTTATAAAACAGATTCGTAACAGATCCTTCTGGGGGCTTCTAAACATCACCAAGTCCTCGGAGCTGCCTAGCCCAGTGATGGCGAACCTATGACGCGTGTCAGAGGTGACACGCGAACTCATTTTTTTGGTTGATTTTTCTTTGTTAAATGGCATTTAAATATCTACACTAATAAAAGAGAAACGTGGTAATTAGCGTACGACCGCTACCCTTTTCATTGGCTAATCAGTGTGTATACGCAAATTAACTGTCAGCCAAGATGGCGGCCGGCAGCCAGGCAGCTGGAAGTGAACATGAGGCTTGCTTGCTGCAGTGAAGGAGGACTCCAACGTTCCCCGCCTCACTTGCCGGCCTCTCAGTTGCAACTCTAAGAAACTATGTACTATGTTGCAAATAAGAAGGTAAACAAAACCCCAGAAACTGGCATTCATTCAGCTGGGCTTTAGCAACATTGTATCGATGTTTTCAGTGGCGAGGCCTCAGAGCTAAAGCTGGCCCAGAATAAAAAAAAACAAAAACAAAAACAAGGAGCGGTTGGAAGCTTCAGTCACTCGCTTCCGGAAAACAGCCCTCAGCCCCTTACCCAGACTGGCCAGGCACCCCAGTGGGGACCCCCACCCTGATCCAGGACACCCTTCAGGGCAAACCAGCCAGCCCCTACCCATGCACCAGGCCTCTATTCTATATAGTAAAAGGGTAATACGCCTCCCGGCACCGGGATCAGCGGAGCAGCGAGGCTCCCAGCACCAGGATCAGCGTGACAGGGGGCAGCGCCCAAACCCCCTGATTGCCCCGCGGCTCTGTGTGTGACAGGGGGCGGGGCCACAACCTCCCTATCTGCCTTGCTCTGTGCCTGATAGGGGGGAGCTCCCCAATCCCCTGATCGCCCTGCGGCTCTGTGTTTGACAGGGTGCAGCGCCCCAACCCCCTGATCGGCCCTGCTCTGTGTGTGACAGGGTAGAGCCATAACCTCTCCATCGGCCCTGCCCTGAGTGTGACAGTGGCGGCGCCCCAACCCCCTGATCGGCCCTGCTCTGTGGGTGATAGAAGGTGGCGCCCCAACCCCCCTCCACAGGCCTTGCTCTGTGTGTGACAGGGTAGAGCCATAACCTCCCCATTGGCCCTGCCCTGAGTGTGA